TTTAGAAAATTGGAAATTTTGTGTGTTTTTGTAACCCGATGGTGCCACCATTGATTTCGAACAACCAAGCCTTCAATTTCACCTCATGTTGCTACAAAAAAAGAATTTTCATGGCCAAGAATTTTCTTTTCGCTCCAGGTCACAGCTTATGCTCATTTTTTTTTATTATATTCCTCACACGATTTTCCCATCATTGATTAGAAATTTGTTCATTTCTCAAAAAATTTCCAATATGCCCGACCACTCAAATTCGATGGTCACACGAAAATCGTCCGTTTTATGTGGCCCAATAATGGTGCAAAATTTGAACAAAAATTCTTAGAAGAGATTTCCAAAAGAAAATTCTTCGGAATTCAACCCATGTATGGCCAGCTTTACAAATGCAGCCAGCCAATTTGACAAATTCCTGTGTGACACCCCCCCCCCCCCCAATAAAATGATCCAATTCGCATTGAGATGTATTTTAGTCAATGAATTAGATAAAGTTAGGTAGCATGCCTTTCAGTTTGGTAAATCATTTTTAAAGCACTGTCCTTATGTTAAAATACAGTTTGACTATCCCAGTGATTGACACTGTGCCTTCCATTCCCAGTCGGTCCCAGTTAGTAAAGTGAAGGAATGACACAGAATCGTGTGTTTTCCCCCCCATAAAAGATGCAGTTTCAGCAGCCAGAGTCCCACAGTTTTTATCCAGTACATGACATGAGAACGATAGGATGGGATGCAGGAACAACAAACACACAAGGAATGCGGATGGTTGCAGCCTTGGTTGCGTGACTTGCATTCAGGCAACTGTCGATCAATCCCATCCTTGTCATATTCTGATGTAACAATGACTGACATCACATGGGGATGGGACATAGGGGCACAGAAAGGCCGCCCGCAGGCAAGGAAAATGATGGAATATCAAGGACATACCCCCTTATACTGTATGTTCTTATAATGTTTTTGCCCCACGTATTCTGGGCCTATCGTTGAATTCCTTAGTGTCCCAGCAGGCCAGTCCGAGTGTGTGTGTGTATATGTATGCATGTATGTATGGATAAAAAAAATAATGTGTGGCTTATAACTGCTGGGGAAAAGCCACGTCTTTGCCTCTACTTACGTCTACCATTAGGCTTACCATAAATCCGGCTCTGTATTTAAATATAATGTCAATCTGTTCCAAGTGAGTACCTACACACTTGCTCTTGTGTATCTTTGATTTATAGGTATAGAAAGGACTTCTTATTCATATTGGATATAAGCAATATCCTTTTACTGTAGCTTTGTTTAGGGTGGAAATATATTACTGGCTGTTTACTTGAAAGGCATTTTATTTCACAAGGATGTGTATAGATAGGTACAACTGCCATTTCCCTGTCAGACGTTCCATTGGACCTCTTAGAAAACCTATTTCTGTATAGCTCCATTCTCCTGTTGTGAGGTTCAGTACAGATGCATTTTTCTGACTAGAGCATTCCATTGAGTCAATTTCCATCTGACAAAGTGCATAGTAACACAGTAAGAGGAAGGAAAAAATGTGCACTTTCCACATGTTGATTAGACGGGACAAGCATCCAGTAAATACGATGGTGAGGGGAAAAGAAGCAGATGGCTCTTCCTGAGGGATATGTGTCATTCATAGCAAACCATATTAACGGTCTCTTGAACACAGTTACACGTTACAATGTCCGGGTACTCTGGGACTCATATGCACTAGAAATAGAGAAAAAAAACAACAAATGTTTGTCCTCCGGTGCTTTTAGCCTTGTTCAATATGGTAAATGCTGCTCGAGCAGCTCTTATAACGATAATTATCTCTCTGGTAAGCACGTCATCAGTGCACGCTACAACAGTGGATAGGCCAGGAGCATACAGCGTGTTTTAGAGAATGTGTTTTACTGTATAGAAAAATTTTAATGATATCTGGTAACTGCAGCCTGAGCTCACCATGTACTCACCAAAGCTAAAAGCCCTTGAGGATTTTCTTTTGCATTATTACTGAAGGTTCAGCTACAAATAAGACCAAAGTGAGGGAGCATGTGTGCCCTTAGCCTCCATATGTTCCAGTGCTGACTTTTTATTATAGCCAAGTATGAGACCAAGGTGAGAGAACACGTGCTTTTAGCCCCCGTATGTTCCATTGGCCACTTCCACCTTTTATTATAGCCAAGTATGAGACCAAGGTGAGAGAACACGTGCCCTTAGCCTCCACATGTTCCAGTGCTGACTTCTACCTTTTTATTATAGCCAAGTATGAGACCAAGGTGAGAGAACACGTGCTTTTAGCCCCCATATGTTCCAGTGGCCACTTCCACCTTTTATTATAGCCAAATATGAGTCCAAGGTGAGAGAACACGTGCTATTAGCCCCCGTATGTTCCAGTGGCCACTTCCACCTTTTATTGTAGCCAAGTATGAGACCAAAGTGAAAGAACACGTGCTCTTAGTCCCCATATGTTCCAGAGGCCACTCCTTCCTTTTATTATAGCCAAGTAAAAGACCAAGAAAATTCAGCTAGGTATGAAAAAAGCGCCTGCTCAGAAAGAGAAAGCTCAGCTAAAAGTGAAAGCATGTGGGCTTCTACCCGTAATATGTTCCAGTGCCCGCTTCTACCTTTTTATTATAGCCAAGTAAAAGACCAAGAAAATTCAGCTAGGTATGAAAAAAGCGCCTGCTCAGAAAGAGAAAGCTCAGCTAAAAGTGAAAGCATGTGGGCTTCTACCCGTAATATGTTCCAGTGCCCGCTTCTACCTTTTTATTATAGAAGGTTCAGCCCAGTATAATTCCAAGGTTAGAGACAAACATGAGACCAAGATGAGAAAACATGTGTGCTGTTAGTCTTTGCATGTACCTACTTTTACCTTTTTGTTATAAAAGGTTCAGTCAAGTATGAGACAAAGGTCTCATACACTCCCCATAAGTTCTGGTGCCCATGTCTACCTTTTATTTTAGTTACGTATGAGACCAAGGTGAGGAAGCATGTGTGCTCTTACCCTCAGAATGTACTTGTTCCCACTTCAACCTTGTATTATAGAAGGTTCAGCCAAATATAATAAGGTTATAGAGGGTGTAAGCACTTGCCCTCTACATGTTCCAGTGCCCCCTTCTACCTTTTTATTATAGCTAAGTATGAGACCAATGTAAGAGCATGTGTGCTCTTACCCTCCACATGTTCCACTGCCCAATTTTACCTTTGTTATTAAAGTTTCAGCCAAGTATGAGACCAAGGTGAGAGAACACATGTGCTCTTACCCCCATATGTTTCAGTGCCCACTTCTACTATTTATAATAGCCAAGTATGAGACCAAGGTGAGAGAACATGTGCTCTTAGCCGCATTATGTTCCAGTTGCCACTTCTACCTTTTATTGTAGCCAAGTATGAGACCAAGGTGAGAGAACATGTGCTCTTACTCCTCATATGTTCCAGGGGCCACTCCTTCCTTTTATTAGAGCCAAGTAAAAGACCATAATGAGAGAGCATGTGTGCTCTTACCATCCTCATATTCAAATGCCCATGTCTACCTTTTATTAAGAAGGTCCAGCCAAGGATGTGACCAAGGTGAGATTGCTTGTATGTGTGCGTACCCTTCACATATTCCAGTACGTCACATCAAAAAGATTGCAAAAGACCCTTTGTTAAGAGATCGAGACTGGTGAGGAAGCAGCTGGAGTTGCCTTCTTTTCAATGTAATTGTCAGAATAATAACATACTATTCCCAACACATATGTTCCTGAAAAGTGGCTGTAGGTGTGAATGGGTGCTGCAGTGACCACCGTCTGGAACCGAAGGTAATCGGAGCGAGAGAATGTCACCAGCACACCACAGATCCACAGGATGGGTCCAAAGCTTTATTCAGTGATCACATCAGTGGCATGCCTGATGAAGGGGTCCTGCGTGGCTTTGAAATTTTGCTTCTGTTACAATTATGTGATTGCTGAATAAAGCTTTGGCTCATTCTGGAGATCCGTGGTGTGCTGGTGACATTCTCTCGCTATGTCAGACTTATAATGTAGCTTTTGTGGGACAAAAGTTACAGTTCATTTAATTATTTAGCTGATGGGTAGCTGGGATTTACCTAAATAGTGCCTTGCTGAGTTACATGTTACCAAAGAATGCCTTATTTTCAGTGTGTATTAATTAGCAGATTTTCTTGCTGTGCATAGGGGTTGACAGTGCGTTTTTAGTCTTGTTCTGATTTAATTGAAAACTGAAATGATTGAAAATGTCTGATCCTTGCTGCATGTTTTACAGTTTAGCAAAGAGAAATATAGAACAGTTCTTACATGCGAGTCTTCCCCTTGTTCTTCTTTATGACAGCAAAGATCGTAGTGGGTCTATTCTTTTAAGTATAGTTGAAATATTTTGAAACCTATCACAAGCGTTACAAAAAGTCAACGTAAAGCCCAAATCCTGTCACAGCACATGCAAAATGCTCCACCACAAAATAAAAAGCATGGGCAGTTGGTGGAACTGGCCTTCCTACATTCTACTGGTAGAGAGACATGTTCAGTTTTTTGCCCAAACAGACTTCTTTTTGAAGGCTTCCCTTCGATAATTTCTTTTTTATTGGCATTAGGTGGTGGCTTGTCACGCAGTCTGTTGAAGACCACCCAAAGTCTTTTCATATTACGTTTCTACATAATAAAGCTGTTACAATATTCTTTGGATGTGACAAAACCATGCAGTATAAGGGCATACTACTATAGATTTAATGGATTGTTTGGGTAGAAAGATACTTGGCCAACAAAGGGGGAAATTGTGAAAGATTTCCATGCTTCCTTCTCCATCAGACTGGTTATTTCATGGCTTTTGTACAATGCGGCTGTTAGGAAGACTGATATATGCTTTTTAAGGTTACAAGGGGTGAGGAGGACTTGGTATACCTAAAAATAGCCCAGTGGTTTGGGTATCAGGTTCTGTAGCAAGAACATGGCTTTATTTCTTTTCTGTACTAAATAAACAGCAATTACTCTAACCGTACCGCTGAAGTAAACAATTTATATATTCTGTGTTACAGATCTGGAGATGTCGGAGTTACAAGAAGTTCAGATCACAGAAGACAATGCTCTTTTTCAGGACCCTTTAAAGGTAATACCAAGATTCTTCTTTTGATTTTGCAGGAAATCACCACTATTGTTATTACACGTCTTTTATTTTGTGTTTTATTTTTAGGCAGCTGAATTGGCTGCAAAATTAATGTGCGTACAAGAGCAGGTATGCAATATTTTGTGTTTTATATACATAATATTTATTTGTGTTCATGTGTACATGCATATAAGAAGTACAGGCATATAAACACATCCATATTCATCACCGGTATCTGTTTTTACATCATAGGTATATCTTTTTTTATTCTGTACAGATGACACTACATGGACATAGTCTTCTATTCCGGTGCTCAGATTACCAAAAATGTACAATCATATATACAGCCATATTTAAAGTGATCCTGTCACTTTGTTGCTCTCCAGCCGCTGGAAACATTTAACACTTCCGGGTGTGTTGAATACTCGCTCCACACACTGCATGCTGTGGTGCTTCCCATTGTCCTGTATGTCCTGTAGTGATATATGAGCCAGCAAGAGGAAGCAAATCATGTGGCAATTACATTGGCATATAAATACTGCTTTTTACCTCTTCAAAATAAAAAGATATAGTCTTGCATAAAATCCGTTTCAAGCCCTTGGTGCAGGACATCTTATTTTGAAAATGAGTCTTATTGATTGACCTGGGAAAATTAAATCAACATATGTTATTGCAAAATTTACGAGGACCCATTTCGACTGTTCAGTTGTATCGCAGTGCGGTATGACACCCACATGCGTTAATGTACTTTTCGTGTGTCAATGCCTGTAGCGGTAAGGAAGACCATCCATTTTGAATGGGCTGCCAGTGCACCAGGTTTTAACTGATCTGCCCTATTTTTGTCAAGTTTTGTTAGATTGGTTCACATCTGTGTCATGTGAGGTGCTAAAACACAGGTGTGTTGTTGTACACTTGCTAGGTATAATGGAGCGCCATTGTTTTGCACTGCTGGCTTATAGACCAGGTGTATTTGTGGTTGTGTATATTTTCTTTCTTATTTCTGTTTAGTGGGAGTGAAAATGTAAAAATGTATTTGAGCATTTCATGGACGTTGATCTTTTAAAATTTTTTGTTTGAGTTTTTCTTTCTGGTACCATATCAAGTCCTGTTACTTGAATTTAATATTGGCGCTGGTACACCAGTATACACTCAACCTGTCTTCCTCTCTGTATCTCGTGGTGTAGAAGCACTCTATTGAGACTCCCTATGGGATGGTGACGGTCACAATTCATGGCAGCCCCAAACCCAAGCGTCCAGCGATAGTAACATTCCATGATGTGGGGATGGACCGTGAGTATGAGGGCTGTCTGTGTTCACCGTACCTCTTGTGTGTCTGTCTTTTGTGCCTTGTTCTTTGTACTACCTCAACTGACCTTGTCTTTCAGTTTCTCATTCTAATATTGTCTAACACCTTTTCTGTGGTTGTCGTTTACATCTTTATTCTAGATTGTTGTCTATGATTTTGAATGGCTTTCTTGTGTCACTGTTTCATGGACCACTGTCTCCTATTTTGTGCATTCATTATACATTGTATAATTCCATAGTAAACAATAGTGATTTGTTATCAGAATTATCATACACACATACAGATAATTGCTGGCTAGACATTTGTTAAAAACAAATTATGGGAAAACTAGAATATGTAATGATCTGAGCGTTCTCCTTGTGCTAGGGACTATCCTCCCAAATGTTCTTGTGCTACACTGATTGTACAGCAATTTTCCAGTATGTTGGAAGGTTCTTGTTTTTTTTTCCATTCATTTTCACTTGCGGATTTGTTTTAGATGGTTACGGATTGTCTGGTGCAAATCGGTGTACTATGTGGTGTCACATTGTGTGTGGCCGGCATTAAAGTGCTTACATATACAACAAAGCACCAGACTTCAGTCTGCGATATCATGCCCTTAAGCGAGGTTGATTGCGTATACTGTACAAGGACAAGGCAACAAATTCACATGTGTGTCTGCTAGTGTAGCTGAGCTGGCAGATGGTTGTACATGTCTACATATAAGCAAACCGTGCTCATTGTTGTGGAAGGATTTATGGATAAGCCTGAATTTGATTCAGGTTTTTCTGGTAATATTTTACCAGCGTCCTCACTTAGATGTTTCAACGACCCTCTATAACACGTTTCACCATTTGCTAGTCATTTGTCTTTTATACAGACTCCCCACGGTGGAACTATGTAGAAAAAAATAATCCTAAGGATATCCATTGTCCGTTGCTAAAATGCCAGCAACTTCCTCTTTCATTTTAACTTTGTTCCGCAGCCTCTGCTCTAATGCCCGTTTGATCATTTTTGCTTTTCTGCTTAATCACCACTTTCCTGTTTTCTGCCATCCTCCAGATAAAATGTGTTTTGAAACACTGTTTAAAAACGAGGACATGTATGAGATAGTGAAGAATTTCGTTGTGTGCCACATTGATGCTCCAGGACAAGAGGAGGGGGCTGCTGTCTACCCCGTTGGGTAAGTTTTCTTTTGCAGTTGGGATGCACAGCAAATATGCCAAGTGCACCAAAATGAAGCTGTCTTATGTTGTTAACTATTGAAGATTATTAGGATAAATATGTCATTTAATAAACTTCTATAATGGGGTAGTAAAAGAGTGCTGGAAGTAAAAGGTCTTGGTGCCCGAGCAGCTTTGTGATGATTTGTTGTAGTTCAGGTCTAAAATTCAGAACAAAGGTAATGGTGAGTTGCTCTGGGCATCAAGGGAAGTTCATACAACAACCCTATTGTCACATTAGTGTGGATTGGTGTGATTTTTTTTTTTTTTGTGTGAACTTCAGATTTTCCTGTGCTGTATAGGTTACAAATGTAAGCCATCATGTGGACAAAAATTCCTTGTATGGATGGGGGAAGTGCCTGCTTTTGACACAAAATTACATTGTGTATAATAGTTAGCTTCATAAGCACACAGAAACTGTATCTTGCCTAGACCAGTGTTTCTCCACTTTTTTTCAGTCATTGAACCCTTTGAAAGTATGCAAAATCTCCCTTTCAGGGAGTACGTGACCGTATGATGGCCTTGATGCTTAATGAGCACATGTCTAGCATCTTCAATGACTCCAATGTCTAAATTCTTAAAGATGTGGGAAACGTAGTTGTCATTTGCTTTTCCTACTCTCCCTCTGCATAGTGTGGGGCGCCTATGATTGACACCCCTCGATGATCCCAAGTCCCTGTCTTTTCCTTTGGGCCTTACCTCTTCTTCCATCTTTTGCTTCCTTCCCTTCTTGCTTTCTTTCTCTTCTGATGGGACTCTGCCCCCCTCTTTCGGTCTCCATATGGGCCCAGTGCCCATCATACAGTTGTTTGTTACTCAGTTTGTCCAGGCTTGCAGTTAGCCACATGGAACTTTCCTGGACCCCCCCGATTATGTGAGTCCTAATTATTTTGTCTGTAAACTGCTGCTGATGTTTTACCTCTTTACTTGCACCATTTAAGCTTTATTGTACTTATGCTATTCATTCTAGCCCCTGTGTAGGCCGATTTTGTGCCTACCTTTTTTGTTACTTTTTGTAAACTAATGAAAATGATTACACCATTAAGTATGCAAAATCTTGAGACACCCCAATGTAAAATGGGATCCTCCATCACCATCAGAATTTCCCCTTTTATCAGAGTCCTTAGCCCCCTCTTCCCCTTTCACATCAGAGTCCTCAGTCTCCCCCCACCTTTTTAAAAATGCCAGCGTCCTCAAACTCCCCCTTTTTACATTCGTGTTCTCCCTCCCTTCCTTCACATGGGTCCTCAGTCTCCTCCCCCAGTTTTCCCTATCTTTTCACATCAAAGTCCTCAATCCTCCCCCCCCCCCCCCTTCACATCCGAATCCTCAGTTCTCTCCCACCTTTTCACAAGCAATTCCTACCTTCAAATCTTCATCACAGCATGGCTGTGCCTGCATGACAGTGGTCGGGGAGGTGGATCAGGTCTAAATGGAGGCAGAGTTCCATCCCCTTGTGAATCCTGGGTCTGCCCTGACTGCTGCCTGTTCTGGATTAGCATTATGTGTTTTCATGGCACTGGTGACCACCTCGCCAGCACCATGTAAATGCATACGGTGCAGTGCAAAAATACTATACATGGTGCAGGACTCCTGAAAACTCCTGATTGAGCAACACTGGCCTAGACAGACTTTGTGTCACTTTGATGGAAAATTTCTATACCTTAGTACAGCATCCAATTAGACCATGGCTACTGGAAAACTATATACTATGTATATTCTGTTTTCTAATCCTGTTACTCTGTTATATTTTGTCCAATCAGATATCAATACCCATCACTTGATCAGCTGGCAGAAACCATCCCTTGCGTGCTGCAGTACCTTAAGTGAGTAAACTTGCAAGATACAAACATGGAACATAAACTATTGTAAATTATCATAGGTTGTATGTAACTTTGCCCTGTGTTTTTGCATGCAGTTTCCCCAGTATTATTGGAATTGGTGTTGGTGCTGGAGCCTATGTCTTTGCCAGATACACGGTAAGCATCTATGAGGATTATTCAAAGCCAAAGCTCGGCGGCCTAGAATTAAACTAAACCTCATCCTAGGTGTAGTTATGGACACTTTGTGATGGAAGGCATGGTTGTACACTATTGCAAGATTTTTATTATGGAACCCAGAAGTGCATGTTTGAGGTGCAATCAGGAGGAAGAAATAGAGCGTGCAGGAGACTGCAGGTTAACTCCTGCCTGGACCCCTAGGCTTTTGGTGTCAGTTGAACCCTTAAACATCCACAGTGGAGATGGAACATCTGGCCATAGTTCCTAACTGCTATGAATGCATTACACTCATTCAGTCAAGAAACCCCCTGTTTAGCTTGAGGCAATGTCTATTGAATGACATGCTATTTTGTTTGTTCTGTTAAGAAGAATTGATCTATAGTTGCACAGATTGAAAAAAAAAAACACACGTCGATTTGAATTCAAAACAGAAAAAAACGTAAAGTGGAATAAAAGCCTAACATCAACTACTCTTAAAAACATTCCCTGCCCCCTCCTCCTACCTATCCTACATACCTCTGTAAAAAAAGAAAAAAAAAAGATCTGTGTATTTACCTTTTTTTAATCCACTCCAGTCCTGTGATCCTGATCCTGCAGCTCCAGCTCCGCTCTGTCAGTGGGCAGCTCCTGCAGGGGAGAGGAGGAGATGCCAACCATGGCTAGATCAGAGGAACCTGAGGGTGATATCACGGCTCTTGAAATTCACAGCTGTTGTCAAGTGCTTCCGTACGCAGGGAAGCTGAAGCTGCAGTATTACATGACTGGACCGGATTAAGAAAAAGGGGGACAGAATTTTGTTATACAGGATATGCAGGATAGTTTGGAGTAGTGGGTGATGGAGCATTTTGAAAAATTGTTAGTGTTAGGACTTTCTTTCTGTTTAACTTCTTAGCTGATCTATGGGAAGACGATTGCCATTTATTTTCATTTACTGTGTATAATGTCACACACTTCTAACCTATTAGTAATTTTAGTAGTAGTAGTAATCTTATATACTCTGTATAATGCCACATACCTCTAACATATTAGTAATCTTGTTCTACTGTCTCTTTCATAAAAGAAATCCTATCATTATTATAAAAGTAGTTAAAAGTTAAACAATTTAACTATTTTCAATGTCTAGTTCGAAGTAAGAACAATTGAGCTATACTGAAATCAGAAAGGGGATTCAAATTATCAAATCTGAGTTTTTAAAATCCAGTGAAGGTACACATGGCATACTACTCTTAAAGCTCTTACTCCTGGAAAAATGAAATTGTACAAATAGTTTTTTACCTAAATCCCTTCCTTTATTCAAATCTTAATTTTAATAAGTGGAGTGATCCAATATAAAAAATTTGCCCGGTAATAATGGCAGCAGTATGCTCTGAGACTTGGTAATCCTAACAGCATATACTGTATGTTCTCAGATAAATATGCACACAATGATTGTCACTGAAAAAAACAGTAATGTAAAATATATAATTCCTGTAGAGAACATGTTTTAATAAAACCTGTAAATTCAAGAGAAAATCCTCATCCAGACCCATCAGTCTATAGATCCAGTGAGTTGCTGTTTTTAAACTTTCCATCAGATCATTTTGTGAGAGTAGGATAGAACTGACAGAAGACCTGTCATATAAAGTATCTTTGGTCCATGGCAGCCAATGCAGTATTGGAGGATGAGAAGCAGAATTTGGTTGGCTTCTGTGGGCAACATTGGTAGCACATTATTTAACTTCTGGTTATGTAGGTCAAGTAGACTGCCACAATGTCAGTTGGAGAGTCTTTGTTTGGGAGTTACCTGCTCTTTTACAGAAGCTTTTTCTTTTTTCCAAAATCAATCTAGAAAGAACGATGTGCACTGGGCTAAACCTCAGATTATAGTAAATATTAGCCAGTCCAGTGAACATGGTTTGCCTTTGCTATGGCCTCTAAAAAGTGAATTGCTTGGTTATCTTTGACTTTAATACTTCCTCATTTATAGAATTCCTTAAAACAATTATCATTACGAAGCTAGTCAAATGGATTGTGGAAGCTGATTGGGCAAATTGCCAGTGAAGCAGATGCTGGATTATATGCTCATGTCTGCTTATGACAACAGGCCATATTATCAAGGTGTTCAAGTAGATTAGGGTACTGGAGGATCCCCAGGTGATCCAATTTGCAGCACTCTCAAGATGGGAGTTAGATCATGCCTGCAATAAAGTATACAGTTGCAAGAAAAAGTATGTGAACCCCTTGGGGATTACGTGGAGTTTTGCATGAATTGGGCATAAAATGTGCTCTGAACGTCATCTAAGTCACAACAATAGAAGAACACAGTCTGCTGAACATAATACTACACAAACATTAGATGTTGCCATGGTTTAATTGCACATAACATGTAAACATTCACAGTGCAGGGAGGAAAAAGTATGTGAACCTTTGGACTTAATAACTGGTTGACCCTCCTTTGGCAGCAATAACCTCAACCAAACGTTTCCTGTAGTTGCAGATCAGACCTGCACAACGATCTGGAGTCATTTTGGACCACTCTTCTTCACAAAACTGTTAGTGTAGCAATATTCTTGGGATGTCTGGTGTGAATCGCTCTTTTAAGGTCATGCCACAGCATTTCAATGGGGTTGAGGTCAGGACTCTGACTGGGCCACTCCAGAAGGCGTATTCTGTGCTGTTGCGGCCATTGTTTTGTTGAATGACTTGTATGCTTTGGGTCATTGTCCAGTTGCATCACCCATCCTCTGCGGAGTTTCAGTTGGCGGACAGATGGTCGTACGTTTTCCTGCAAAATATCTTGATAAACTCTGGAATTCATTTTCCCATCAATGACAACAATCCGTCCAGGTCCTGAGGCAGCAAAGCAGCCCCAAACCATGATGCTCCCTCCGCCATGTTTCACAGTGGGGATGAGGTTTTGATGTTGGTGTGCTGTGCCTTTTTTTCTCCACACATAGTGTTTTGTGTGTTCTTCCCAAACAACTCAATCTTGGTTTCATCTGTCCACAGTATATTTTGCCAGTAGTGCTGTGGAACATCCAGGTGCTCTTTTGCAAACTTCAAACGTGCTGCAATCTTCTTTTTGGCCAGCAATGGCTTCCTCCTCCGTGGTGTCCTCCCATGTACTCCATTCTTGTTTAATGTTTTCCTTATTGTAGATGTGTCAACAAAAATGTTAGCATGTGCCAGAGATTTCTGTAGGTCTTTAGCTGACACTCTGGGATTCTTCTTTACCTCATGCAGCATTCTGTGCTGTGCTCTTGCAGTCATTTTTACAGGACGACCACGCCTAGGGAGAGTAGCAACAGTGCTAAACTTTCTCCATTTGTAGAAGGTCTGTCTTAAAAACAAACATAACCGTGGACACATGAACATCAAGGCTTTTGGAGATACTTTTGTAACCCTTTCCAACTTCATGCAAGTCAACAATTCTTGATGGTAGGTCTTCTGAGAGCTCTTTTCTGCGAGGCATGGTTCACACCAGACAGTGCTTCTTGAAACCAGTAAACCCAAAACAGGTGTCAGCAACACATCCAATATCATCACACTGATTGGAGTCAAGGTTGGCTCACTCCTGGCTCCAATTAGCTCTGGGAGAAGTCATTAAGCTAGGGCCTCACATACTTTTTCCTCCCTGCACTGTGAATGTAAACCTTGTCAATTAACTTTTATTGGCTTTATTTTTGGTCTGTTATATACACCATTGAAAGCATTTTGTGATATTTGTTCATTAAAAGAGAAGTGTGGGAACCTATAAAAGAAAATACATACTCATCTAGATGGCTGCAGCTGTCCGTCCACTGGTTCTATGGAGAGAACTGAATGATCAAAGAGCACAGATCGCTTAGTTCTCAAGTCCGCACTGAGCACAGAACGGTGACTGTTAATCACCACTCTGTGCTCTGCCGCTCCAGTGCTCAATTGACCGCCTAGCTGCAGCTGTCCGTCTGCTGGTTCTATGGAGAGAACTGAATGATCAAAGAGCACTGATCGCTTAGTTCTCAAGTCCGCTCTGAGCACAGAACAGTGACTGTTAATCACCACTCTGTGCTCTGCCTCTCCAGCGCTCACTGGACCGCCTGGCAATGGAAGAGGTCGTAGCGCCTGGCTCAGGCTCTGCAGAGATGCTTAGCCAACTGCCGGTAATGAATCTGAGCAGATCCCAACAATAATGTTGGGATCCCTGCAGAGCCTGGACTGGCTTTCTGACCTAGCTTTAGCCTGCTATCAGCTGAATCTGGGTCATGAGAGTGCAGCACTAAGTGTACTCCTGTGATCCATATAAGTAGTATAGCCAAAAGTGCTTTGGGCATGCTTCCTCTTTTAAGTGCAATAAATACTTGTTATTCCTGTCAGAAATCCAGTGCCGTTTTATGTAATCGGTAGTGTTATCAGCCCTGCCCAGTTCACTTCCGTGGACTATAGACTACCCCCATGTTATGGGTATGAAGAGAGGGGCGGTATTCTGCAGTCCCAACACAACACTCTAGGGAATATAAATGCAGCCACCAAATCTAAGGGCAAGCAATCTGCAATATTTAGATAAACCCTCCTAAATCTATCGGCAGATTCAGTATGGACCTTATACTATGGCGAGCATTAGTGTATTGTAGTAGGGTGAAAGGAAGATTCTGACTGATTTGTCATGTGTCACAGACTGGGACAGACAATTGACATCTTTTTAAATCCTTCCATCTTTTTTTTTCAAGGTGCCATCACCCAGTGTTCTTTTCTTATTTTTAAATATCCTGTTATGTCACATTACTTTCTTAAAATATATTTCTGTTTTTATGAGCTGTAGGAAATTAATTTATGGATGTTTTATACTTCACTGTGGCGCTTTCTAGGAAATTTGCCAAACTGGAACAGCATGGTCCTGCTACAGCTCTGTGTTAACAGAGAATTTGGTTATTGGGGAGCAACGTGCACTGGATAAGCATTAGCCTGTCCGATGAGCATTTTTACAATCTCCTAGCTCCTTTCAGTGCTGCCCATTCTCG